GTACCTGCTGGGAGGCTGGAACGAGGCGGAGAAGCGCTACAAGGCGGCCGTCCAGAAGTACGACCCGGCCACAGACAGCTGGTCCGTGGCGGAAGATCTGCCTGAGCCCACGGTGGGAGTGTCCTGCTGCACCCTGACCCTGCCGCCGCGCCCCGCACCACGCCGACAGCCGCACCGCAACACCCCGGCCCACGAAGAGCAGCAGCAGAAGAACCAAAGCAGAGAGAGCAGCGTGGCTCCTTCACAAACCATCACAGCATAGAGGAGAAGAAGGGAGAGACTAGAAGAGAGGAGGGCTGGTTTAACCTCTGGAGAACATCTGGATCACATCTGCTCTTCTTTCTCTTTGTACCTATTTTAAATTTATATCAGTCTGTAAAGAATTATAAAGAATTTTGGATAAAGAAAAGAAAGATTTTATTTAATATATTGTAGAAATATTTGAAATAAATGTTTAATATAATATATTTTATAATTTTATAAAAGGTAGCATTTTTTGGAGCATTTTATTTATACAATATTAGTTAATATGCTAAAGATTTACAATATTTAGATGAAGCATTGATCCTCCATTCTTACTGAGGTGATTTTAGGGTTTCTAAAAAACATACTTATTCGACAGCTGACCTCCATTATTAGAATCACAAGAGAAATATTACAATTAGATCCTAATTTATTAAACAACCAGAGACAGACCCATGAAATGCCCAAGTATGTATGTGCTGGTTTTATTTTGCAAGAAATTAAAAGAGAGCGTTCATGATCCAAAGTGATCTCAGGAGGTTTTACACTGATGGAAATAGGAGGAGTAAAAAAAGGTGGATAAGGGATGAATTATAGCGTTGAGCGAGCGGAGGTAGAGAGGTGATGGATTGAGGTCAGATGATGGAAGAGACGGAAAGACGGGAACAGTGTCTTGTCTGTGTTTGAGTGGGTTTGGGTTAAACAAAACATCACTGTGAATCCACTGGCAGTTTGTGTACAAAGATGTATCTAGGCAGAGTGTGTGATGTCCAACTGTGAAGTGTGAAAGTGTGTGTGACAGGCGAGTGTGTGTCTGTTCGGTGTGTGTGTGTGTGTGGTCGCTACATGAGACGAGCCAGTTCTGACTAAATAAAAACTGCGATAATCAAGATTTTCTTCATCAGCAAACTTGAAATATTCTTCATGAGGATATAAGCAGGCCAAAAATAAACAAACCAGTGTTTATTGTTTTATTTATTTAATGGTTAATCTGTCAGACGTAGCATAGCTCAGCTGTGACAAAATATAGATGTAATACTTAAAAATAAAATAATTTTATAAGTGCATTGGAGTGGAAGGATTTAGGTGTGAACACAAGAGGGGGGAAGTGTCAACTCGACAACACAGGTGAGATTTAAAAGGAAATAAATGGAAAATAAGAAGGTTTTAACTTTCTAAAGAAACCAGGAAAAGAAAAAATCTGATAAAATCTTTAAAAAAAGTACATAAAAATCAGAAAAATATTTTAAAAAATGCAACAAATTAAGGAAAAAGAACATAAAAATCCTACATCTCGCCTGTGTTTGTGTGTTTAAAACGTTTCGCCATTCTCTGACGTTTAATTTTTACTGAAACTAAGACAAAACAAACCAACCGAAGAACCAGTGAGACTCCGGCAGGCAGGTTATCTTGACAGCCGTGGAGCACATTAAGAGTTAATGATCAATAATGTTTGTAATGAGACACAACGAGGACAATCTGGCTCATTTGATTGGTTGAATCCCTCTGTATTTGTCCCCTCTTTTGGCACTGGATGAGCTCCGTGCTGGTGTTTTCTGCGGAGTTTCACTGAATAAAAGCCAAACTTTAATCAAAACGTGTCGATTCTGTCTTTTCATTTCATTTGTATTCAGACCGAGCTGCTGGGAAATGTAGTCCGAACACAGGAATCAGCTCATAAAAAGGTCATAACAGGGAAAATGAGCTTAAGAAGTGTGTGATTAACTGTTTAAAGGTGTTTGTCCCAGACGCAGTGGTTAAGTTAAAGTCTTTCATTGAAGATTTTAAGACAAATATAAAGTATTTCTCATGTAGGAAGATTTTTCTGTCCCAGTATTATCAACATTATTGTAATTTTTCACATCTTAAGCAACTCATTTGTTTCTGATTGTGCAATAGGAGATATAAAGATATAAATCTCTTTTAAATACTTAGAATATTTGAGTCAGTTTGTGCTTATATACAACTATTTTAAAATATTTTGTTCTGAAAAGGAAGCAATGTTGAAGTTGAAGATTTTAAAGTTCCAGTTTGCAATAATATAGATTTACACGTTTACAATGTGATTTACTCATATTGTATTTAATGTTGTTGTAAGGGGCCAAGACTTCAGAATATACATGATGGCATTAAATATTTTTATATTTTATGTATTTCTGACAGCAGAATAAACAACTATAAACATAATAACACAATATACCACAAAAACGCCAAAATCTTAACAAGTACTGCTGGAGTATTATTACCGATACAATAAGCAGCAATATTAAGCAGCTGTTGAAGTAAATTGAGGTCAGTCGTTCTGGAGAAACAAAGATTTAAACGCCACCTGTTTGTGTTTCTGTCTCCAGAATAACTGAATTTACCTCACTTACACTGTTGAATACATCATTTACTGTTTAACTCTGGATTTTGGGTTCAATTAATGATTTTAAAACTATAAACGTAAATAAGTTTATTACATGTAGTGGAGTGAAAAGTAGAGTTTACCTTCGAACTGTTGTTGAGTATTTAGTAGCATAAAATAAAGATACCAGAACACGTCAGAACAGTATGAAAGTACTTATCAGAAACGCCTTTAATACTGAATTCCACTTTAACCCCAAAACAGGAGCCAGATACTTCCCAGCAGCACTACTCTGACTAGAAGAATGTCAATGTACATGTTAAATTAGATAATAAAATGAAGCTCTAGTGGTACAGCTGTTGATTTTTAAAGCGGATTTGTAAAGTTCAGGTATTGAATCCTTATCAAGACAAAAAATGGCATCAGATCATCTCTACAGTATCTTTCCCAACCCTTCCAAGATGTCAGGTTTCCCCACAGATGGAGAATAAAATCACTTCTATTTGCAGTAATTTCATTTATGTTCCATATTCGAGGGTTTTAATATAACTCAGTGAACCTGCTTCTTGGCTCGAGGCCACGATGTTTAAAAGCGAGATGATTCAGCTACCGAGCGATGTCTGTAAATAGCAGTGAGCTCATCTGTTATTCGAACACTTGCGCCCACGTGTGGTTAAAGCTCATATTACAGCAAGTGGAACTGATCTCTTCCTACATGACGTCTATGAGAAGAGTCCAGATTCATCAACCTTTAAAGCAGTTAGGCGAGTACAGAACACAAAGTAAATTGAACTGGAGGCCTCAGACGCTCTAAAATAAGCAGCGACGTTTACTTCAAGAAACACGACAAGAAAGAAAGTCTTTTTTTCCATTTTATTACTTTGTTATAAACAAGATCAAAGGTGGTCCTTTACTTGCCGGGGAGGATGATACCGTCATACTGAAAGGAAATAAAGAGACAAATGTTAGATTGTAGTCGACAGTATTTCAGGAACTAAAGGATCAATGTGAGAAAAGATCTAGATCTAACTCCAATAAGATACAGTTAAGTTAATTAGCTCTGCAGTGATTTGGAAGCATTAAAAACACGAATTAAACACGAATTTATGGTTTTAAAAACCACAAAATCTCCCATCAAACATGTTTGATCCACAACAACTAAAAATTCCAGGCAAACATTTTCAAAAACACTTTTCTAGTTGGATGAATCCTTTCCAACAGCAGTTTGATGAGTCAGTTAATGGCCAACAATAAAACCGGCGTTTAGGGCCACATCTCAACTACTCAGTCCAACTTCTGTCTCAACTCTTAAATGTGAACTTAAAACCCGGAGAGCCACTCTACAGTCTGCAGGTGTGTCAGGACGTCAGACACTCACTTTCTGCTGGAACCAGCGCATGGCCTCCTCTTTGCGGATGCGGTGCCTGAAGCCGATGCGGCCTGTTTTCCGCTTCTTATCGGCGATGCTGAAGCCGGGTCTGCCCAGAACCTGAACAATAACGGAGGGAAAAAAGGTCAGAAACACTCAAACATTACACACAAACATCAGTAACATCAGTAACATCTATCAATACTGTCTGGACGAGTACTGGTGGAATATAATGGTGGATAATTCAGGGATTTAAGCAAATTCTGCAACACAGAAGCTCAGTGTTCATTATTTAAAACAGACAGAAACAATAAATTCACAATCAAACCAGGAAAAAGCAGTAAGTATACGTCAAATGAAAATTAACCAGCTAATTGTTTCAGCACTATGTTTAAGTTATATCCTCTAAAACTCCATCACGCATTAAAAAAGGTGTCTTATAAAGATCAAACTCCATCGACAACAAGT